CTGAGTCCTTCCCCTCCTTCATGGCTAGTAGCCTTCAGAGATCTCCTTGGAAGGGTGGGCTTTGTGACACAGCCAGTAAAGCCTGTGCTTGGGACACTTAACTGCAGAGTGCTGGGTAATCCACTCTGGGTCCAGCTTCCACCTAATGTACCCCAAATGGCCCAGGAATTGGGTTCCTGGCATCCACATAGGATGCCAGATGCAATTCTAGGCTTCTGTCCCTGCCCTGCCCTGTTTGTTGCGAGCTTTTGGAGAGTGAACCAACAGATGAAAGAGCAACTGTCCATATACCTTTAAAGTAGATGAAAACAAACATTTAAAAAGGAATAAATCTCCTTGGAGACCCAGCTAGACTGGGGAGCAGCCCTGACCAGCAGTGAAAGCACCCAGGGTGGGTGATGGGGTTTGGCCTCACAACATTTGTGCTGCAGGTTCCCTCTGCCATTATCAGATTAGATCTAGATTAGGAGACTGCCCTTCTGCCCTCCTGCCCTCCCCTCAGTGTCCCAACTAGATAAAGAGAGAATGGGGCACTGGGCCTTGGCTTCCTGGAAGGGATGAGATGAGTGTGACTAGGTGCCACTTCCATGTGACAGTGGGCCCTGGAAGACAGAGGACTTTGAAGGTCCCCTTGTGTGATCCCTTCAGCCTGGCTCCCATGTCTGAAGAGTAAGGCATGCCGCTGGCAAGTGAACCAAAGGTCTGTGTAAGTGGCAGGAGCCATTGCCTTATCACAAACCCTGAGCCTGTCCATCCTGGCCGGATGAAGCTGTGGCCTTGGAATCATAGCACGAGGACACGGTAAGGCCCACCTTCAGGTCTCAGCTCTACAACTTGGCCATGTGACGTCAGGCCAGGCATACTCTGTGGCTCGTCTGCCAGCTTCATGCAACCACTCGGAACAGAAGTGTTCAGAATGTGCTGGGATGGACGCTGTGACACAAAAGCATGCTCACTTGTCACCTGCTTTAAGGAAACTTAAAAGTGAGTGCCTGAATGCAAGTTCCATGAAAGTGAGGTGAGGTTCCTGGGGTTTTTTGAAAGGGTGTCTTAGAAGATGGGCAGGAGTAAACAGAATGAAGAGACCCTTCCTGCCTACCTTCAGAGACACAGAAAGTCCCTCCAGCACCCCTCAGGCCTTCCAGTGCCGTGTCTTGGCCATGAGACTGTCAGCTCAAGTGTCCTTTCTCTTTCCCTTACCTGTGGCACCTGTGTAGGGGAGGGGCCGGACAGGAGGGAACCTCCCTGAGAGCCGGGGAGGAGGCTGGGATGTAGGGGGGAGCCTGGCAGTATGACCCACTTAACCTCAATTCTATAGGCTGGAACACAGCTCACTACAGGCCCTTGTAAAAGGCTGATCAGTACTCATGAAATAGCTGATCGACATCATGGTGTCTCCCACCTGCCCTTCATTGAGGACTGCAGAGTCTGCGCAGCCTGTTGGGTCAGGGCTAGGCATGGGGGCCAGCTGGTCACAGCTCCCCAGCTCCCCTCTGGGAAGGATGGAGTGGCAGGGTCTGCGCCTGCAAAGCCACCCGGCCAGCGCTTTTTCTCCCTCCTGACCAGACTTGGAGCCACAGGCAGCTGTTGGCAAGGACCGGACCCATCCTGGTGTGGGACTAGATAAACTGCTGAACTGGAGAGATGGCGTCTGGAAGGAGCAGGAGCTCTGCTCCGGGCGCAGCCCCAGCCTCCTGGTGTGTGTGTCCCTTCATTGATCTTGTAGGTCTGGCCTGCAGGGGCTGCTCCACTCCCCTAGGCACCCTGAAGCTGAGAGGCCGCTGAGCCCCAGAAGCAGCAAAGAGGAAACCTGTGTGAGAGCAACACTGAGTGCCGTGAGTAGTGACACTCCAAACCCCACACCTCCTGGGCATCTGAGATTCAGAGGGGGGCACCTTAGGAAAGTGTGGCCAAGGAACAGCAGAGCCAGATCCAGCTCACCTTGCAGCCCCGGCCTGCACTTGCCCCACACTGCCCCGTGCTGGACAGGGTTTGCTTATGCGTTTCTTAGCCAAGGGAGCATCAGGGGGGTTCGTTTCCCCCTTTGAGATACCGGTGAGTGAACACATGGAGTTGTTCAGACAACAAGGGCAGGTTGTCATGTTCTCTCAGGCAGCCCTTATGAAACGGGCCTGTGCAGGACTCGGGGGCAGTTGGTGGGTGGAGGTGGAGGGAGACGCACGAAGGGCGATACCTTGAGTGTCCAGATGGCAAAGGAAGATGGGAAGCATGGAGGGGACTACATTTCCCGAACAACAGCACTGACCAGGAACTGCCCCAGCCCTTTTCATTTGCATTTAACTTTCAGAAAGAGGGGAAGTTGTCAGCCCAGTTGCAAGTAAGAATTGTGAGGGACAGGCATTTGGTGCAGCAGTGAAGGCTGCCCTCAGGACACATGCATCCCATAGTCAGAGTCTAGGTTCGAGTCCTACCTCCGCTGTTAATTGCAGCTTCCTGTTCATGTACACTCGGGGAGGCAGCAGGTGGTGGCCCAAGCACTTGGGTCCCTGTCACCCACATAAGAGACGTAGACTTGAGTTCCAGCTCCTGGCTTCGACCTAGCCCCTGCTGTTTTAGATATTTAGGGAGTAAACCAGCAGATGGGAGATTGATATCTCTAGCTAGCTAGCTCTGCCTGCCAGGTAAGAATTGTTTTTGAAGTAGAATTGTGAGCTCAGGGAGAACTAAAGGCCACAGTGCTGGTTAGTGGAGGTGCCAGGATTCTAACCCAGGTCTCTGTCGCTCCAAGACTGTGCTCCTTCCACTAGATTTTGATGAGATGACAGCCAGCATGGCCACTGCGGGCTGACAGTTGGTGTCTGAAGAACTATTTCACAGCATTGCTATCACAGCAGCGAAAACCCTGTTGGGCACAGCCCCATGCCCAGCTCGGAGACCTCCTGGACTCCCCGGCACACAGCCTCATCCCTGGCACATGGTAGTTCTTCCTAAGTAGCTGAGCCACAGAGCTTTGAGCAGAATGGTGAGCAGCCCCGGGCACAGCGCACGGGCACAAGGACACTGGGCCTTCAGGGTAGTGCTGGGTTCCTGGAAAGCCCAGGCCTTCACAGTGCCCAGCTCCCAGGCCGACTGTGACTGCATTCTGTGGCTGGCTGAGTCTCCGCAGGATTGTCAGGCCCTGGGGGACTGGGCTGCTTTCTCCACGGGACAGTTGCCCAGACGAGGCCCTGCTTGTGCCCTTGCATTCTCAAGATGTAAGCCAGATGGTGGCTCAGGACGGGGCCCAGACAATCTAGAATATGCAGAGGAGCCTCTGTGCTTGCAGCTGCAGGAAGTCTCATCCGGTGCAGGGGCTACAGTAGGGTCTCTGAGGTCAGCTGGCTGCTGTAGGTCCCTGCTTGTCAGCCCTTCAACAGTCCTGTCTGCCTGCAACAATGTCTCTCTTCCCCATTCTTCCATCAGCTGGCACAGGGCTGGCAGTCGGGGCATGTTGAGTGTGCAAAGCTGATCCAAGACCCTTGCTCTCTAGTGGAGGTGTCTGTGAGTGGTTCCAACCCTGCCAACACCTATTTCATCTAGCTTGCAGACAAAGGGCTCTAGCCTGTTTCAGAAAAAAAATATCCTGTGTTTTAGCTGTTGCAATGGAGAGAGCAGCCTGGCTGGAACTGGTGAGTCCCCGGGTCCCTTGGTGATAACAGGCCTTGGAGAGGGAGGCCCGGAGGAACCTTGTGAAGCGCCTTCACATGGCTGTTCTGTGCTCAACACCAGGAATGGCAGTGAAGCTGCAGGCAGTTCCAGGCAAAGAGGAGCCTTTACTCTGCAACCCTACCTTGGTCATGACAGTGACAGCCTGGCAGCGACAGGAGGAAATGAGCCAGCAGAGATGGACAAAGATATGTCCCCAAGGGGGGAGCAGCAAGAAAGACATTGGAACTTGGTTCCCCAAAATGTGCCCATGGCAGACAGCACAAGAAACAATAAACTGTTAGAGTTTCAGTGTCTGATTTGATGCCTTGTGGTCCCCCCTCAAAGCCCAGAAACTGATTTTCAAGAACTGCTCAGGCAGTTGGTGACGGTGGAGCTCTTGGCCCCCAATCCGGCGCTCCACACTGCCACAACCTGTTGCGTAACACTGAATAACTGGCTTGTCTTCTCTTTCATGAAATTTCCATTTGGTCCTTCGCTGCTGCCCAGCAGGCCATCTAGTGGGAGTGTTGTTGGTCTTTTGGGACTTACCCAGGTTTCTGGATGAGGCCCCAGGTAGCCTAAGTGGCGCACCCCTTTTGCTCCAGGGACACTGACAGAGGGGTCACACAACCGCTAAAACAAGAAGTGCCAGGACAAGGGCCTTGCTTCCCTCGCCCACCCCGTGTCCTCGCCCCGGGTGGCCGAGCCCTCGGCTCCTCCCCTTCCCCACCAGATTGGGGGGAGGGGTCCTCCGAGCTGCACTAGTAGCAGATGCTTGGAGGCAAGAAACGCTGGCAGAAAGGAGCAGGATGGAGGGAGGAGGGAGAGCTGGAGGTTTGTGTGTGACCGCCTGGGTTAGCCGCACGCCCCCGCCCCCGGCTGCTGGGCCTTGGAGCCCCCGTCCAGCCACGCGGTGAAGTTTGCGGAAAGTTTTGCAGTTGCTTCTCTGCCTGTGCCAGACCGGGGAGTTGTGACGCAGCGTCTGAGGCTCCAGGTCGGGGACCAAGAGAAAAGCAAGGCTGGAGCGTAGGAAGCAGAGACTAGGGGCGTATACGGGGGTCTTCATCTCCCGCCATCCTCTTCTCTCCCTCTCGGCGCACGCTCTCCGGCCCCAGGCCCTTGCTGCCCGCGCCTCCACCCCTTCCCCTCCCACGCTGCCCGCTTCCCTTCCCCTCTGCCCCTCAAAACCCTCCTCCTGGGGTTCGGCGCTCCTCCCTCCGCCTTCCCTCCGCCCGGCCTGCCTCCTCCCTCCCCCTCCTCCTGGGGAGGCATCACTTGGTCCGCGAGCCCCTTGCGGGCAGTCATCACCGCAGCACCGGGGCTGCCACTGCGCACAGGACCCCGCTGCGCCTCCGCGTTTGCAGAGCGTGGAGATGGGGCCCAGCCGACCGGCCCCCGCGCCCTGGCCTGGTCACCTGCTGCGTTGCGTCTTGCTCCTCGGGGGCCTGCACCTCGGCCGCCAGGGCACTGCCGCCGTCCCCCCGGGTAAGGCACTGCCAACTTGGCTAACTTCGGGGCCGGCGGGACAGCGTGCACGCGGGCCTCTCCACTTTTCCCTCCTCCCCCTCGTCCCCAGAAGTGGTGTGCGTGTGTGTGTGACCGGGTTTTTAAAAATTGTCTTCACTTCTCCGCTAGCGGGGGAAGGGAAGGCGCGCGCCTAGGGTTGGGGGGGAGGCAGGAGGACCTGAGTGGAACCAGATGTGGCGGCCGGCGGGGGAGGGGAACCGGAGCATGAGGCCTCGCTGGCGGGGACCCCCTCCCAGCTCTCATCGCCCACCCGGCTCCCTCCTTGCCCTAGGCCAGCAACGGTGGGGCTCATCTGGGGAAGTCAGGGGGCTCCGCACGGGAGTCGGCGGATGGTGCCCGTGTTTTCCTCCAGGATGAACATGTTATTACTGTTTGCGTTTGTCTGTTCTGAGGTTCGCTTGCACTGCATCACAGGGTTGTTTATATTTCCTTTCCACGCTGGGTCTTCAAGGAGGGCTTGTGGCACGCGGCGGCTGCATCACTGGAACAGGGAGCTTTGTGGGCAATTTTGTGGAACCAGGACGCAGCGACACACACTGTGTCCTATGCGTGTATGCTTTTTGTGTGCGCAGCTTTGGCCCCACTGGCGCCCGTGGAGTGAACAGAGAATGAACGGCAAAAACTAGTGAAAGATGCAAAATTCCAGCTAGCCGGCCCAAGACTGTGTCCTTCTAGGGGTGACAGTGCAGGTTGGGACAGACAGACCCCCTCACCAAGAATCAGAAAGTTCCTGGAGATGGGGACTGCAAGGATAAAAGCTGGGGTCGCCCAGGAGGGCAGCAACTCGAGCGCCCCTGCTGGGCCCAGCGTGGTCCTGCTTTGGGTGGGACTTGGGGATGGAGTGCTTGGAAGGCTACAGGCAGGCGCCTTCAGCCTGCGGATGTGTGGGGTCGTTGGCATCTGCCTGATGGGAGAGGCGGAGCCCAGAGCTCCACATTCCCCCCCTTGGGCTGCCTCCATCCCCCCACCCCCCGGCAGTCCCCCTTCTGTGAAGGCCCTCAGGCAGGCAGGCTGGAAGGGCGGAGAGGCCCCTGCTGTAGGCCCAGAGCACTTTTGAGAGCCAGGTCCTGGAGTCCAGGCCAAAGTGCTGACTCTGCCTTTCCCCTTCCGCCCTTTGGAGGAGGGAGCTAGAAGAGCCTGGAGCGGCCTGGGCAGAGAGGACAGGACGCCCCACTTGGATCGCTGTGCTCCGCCCGCTGTGTGTTCTGGGGCTCTGCAGCCTGCCCCTGTGCAGCCCCAGGGGCTCCTTCCCAACGACACTGGACCCCTGTCCTCAGAGGGAGCTAGGGTCTGGGCTGAGGCTGCTGTGACACCGTGCTGTTCTCCACAGCAGCTCAGCGGGAGGAGGACGGAGGTGAATGTGGGGCTGAGTTCACCTGCTTGTGAATTCCTGGTAACCCCAGGAAGCGCAGGTCTGGGTGCCCAGGGAGAGGCTGCAGGGGAGCCCCGTGTCCACAGGAGAGGGCACTGCGGCAAGGTGGGCACCTCCCCCTTGCTGTGTACTGGCCGAGTCTGTCTCCCTGCGCCTCACGCTGCACTCCCCCAGAGCCAGTCTGGGGGTGCCCTGGCTGGCTGCTGCACTGCTGCTGTTTTTGCCACATTCACTGCCCAGTACAGAGCTGAGGGATTGGTGGGCCAGAGTGCGTGCCCTGAAGGGTGGGCTGTGTATCATGTCCCATCTAACTCAGACCATGCCCTGATGAGGTGGGTACTGTTGGACCCGTTTTGTAGGTGAGCTCGCGCAGGCGAGGGTGGTGCCTGGTCGTTTGTCACTCAGTTCCATCACCCATCGCAGAAGCGCTGGGGCTATGGAGGCTCACTGTTGGGGCACTGGCGGCTGGGAAGCCTGCGGCAGGAGGGTGGCCAGGGCAAGGGGGTGGACTAGGTGCTCCTGAGGATTATGTGGGAGTTGGCAGGGCTCTGTGGGGACATGTTGGGTGAGCGAGGTGACTGGCCAGGTCCCTGTGACTCACACACCAGCAGGGCTGCCCAGGAGTCTGAGCAGAGGAATGGAGTTACCCCCTGCCCCCTTTTTGGAGCTTAGATGTGTTTGTTTATTCCTGTACCAATCATTGCAACATTGGGGGCAGTCACCGCAATCCTATCACCCCGATGTGCTCAGAGTGAGCAGGTGGCAGATCTGCCCACTGAACTCCAACTTAAGTGCCTGATCCAAGGCCAGAATCCAGGGCACACAGCGCCCAGCCCTTCCAACCATTCCAGCCTGGCACCCAGGGAGACCCTTGGAAGCCACGAAGGAATTCCAGTTGACTGGGATCTCCCTTTCTCAGCTCCAACATCCTCTCCAACCAGTGGAAAACCTACCTGCGTGACCAAGGGCTCCAGCGCCAGAGAGCAAACCCCGGGGACCCTGTGGGGAGGAGGAGCTCAGGGGCAGGGGAGGGGCTAGTCTAAAATTGAACCACAACCTGGATACCAGCTGACCCCGGGACTTCCCCACACACCCTTCCAGCTTGTACTCCTCAGGCTCCTTATGATGCCAAACAAAGAGCCCCCAGGAACAGGACCCTCAGAGGCCCAGCCACGGAGGAAGTGATCCGGGAGCCATCTTGAGGGCGCTGAAACAAATCCTCCTGGGAAAGGCTGTGTCCTTAGCCTCGGAGGGACTTGGAAGCACCCCAGTACAGTGACTGTGCTGAGACCCAGACATCCCAAGGCCTGCAGGATGAGGAGGTCAGGCGAGGAGGCCATGGGAGGTCCCCTCGGACGTGGAGGGAAGCTGCGGCTGCGGCTGCGGCTGCTGCTGCTGCCTCAGCCTCTGCCACGCACAGGTCCTGCACTTCTGGCCCAGCTCCTGGCAGGCCAACAAGTTGTCTAGCTTCTTACTCGTTCATGCCTGTTCCTCAACCCTCAGCCTCCCTTGCAGCCACCCACAGGCCCTCTTGAGCTGCCAGGCCTGAGTGTAGGGCCTGCCAGGCAAGGCGAGGGTGCAGGGCCTGCCAGGCAAGGCGAGGGTGCAGGTCAGGGCAGGGATGGGGCTTTGCAGGTGGAGCCCCAGTGTATTGACCCCAAGGAAGCGTTAGCCTCGTGATGCCCACATAGTCTGACCATTGAGGCAGAGGAGATGGGAGCGCCGGGGTCTTCTCGGGAAGACTTAGAGCTCATCATTAAATTCTACATGCCCGACAGCCTCTGGAGGCACGAGGTGCTGACAGCAAAGGCACCGCTGTTGACACACTGCCGGGCGCCACGCCTGCCCCACCCCCTTCCTGTGCAGGCAGTGTCGTGCTGGGCATACAGGCCTCAGCAGAAGGGCCATGCTGGCGGGTCTGTTCAAGACCTCACCCTCTGTGAGTGGTGAAAGTGATTAACACCCACGAGAGGGGCAGGGCAGACCCCTTGGGCACCAAACCAAGGAAATACTGCAGGGTGAAAGAAATTCTGCCCTATGGGGGCCCCACAATGCCAAGCCTCAGGGACAGTCTCTCTCATTTCCCCCCAAGAAGACCCTGACGAGGAAGGGGGAGCGTGCGGTCCTCCGCCAGGTGTCCCTGGCTACTTTATTCTCATCGGTGGCCACTGGCTGGATACAGGGCTCTGTCCCATCACAGGGGGCCAAGCACGGGGGCGTGGCCTGAGCTGATCAGTGTCCTTGGGTGTCTGAGGTGTCCCCACTAAGGAAGCTTGGGAGGCAAGTACTGAGAGGCCAGAGGTGCCCAGGCCAGCCTCCCTGAGACAGGAGATGTGCTTGTTCCTTCCTTCTTTTGTTATTATTTCATTGCAAAGTCAAATTTACAAAGAGAAGGGGAGACAAAGATATTCCATCAGCTGATTCACTCCCAAGTGGCCACATGGTTGGAGCTGAGCCAATCTGAAGCTAAGAGTCAGGAGCTTCTTATGGATCTCCCACATGAATGCAAGGTCCCAAGGCTTTGGGTCATACTCTACTGCCTTCTCAGGCCACGAGCAGGGAGCTGGATGGGAAGTGGAGCAGCCAGGACATAAACCAGCACCCATATGGGATGCAGGTGCATACAAGGCGAGGATTTAGCCACTAGGCCATCGTGCCGGGCCCCTCCCTTCATTTCATCATTGCTTATTCTGTTACTGGGCTTGTGCAGTGCTGAGAGCAAAAGTGGAGGAGACAGGGCCTGTTCATCCCCAGAGTCCACCTCCTCCCACAACACCTACTCCAGTGGGGGAAGCGGGGGGATCACTGCGCCTTGCTGCCCGGAAGTCTGCCTTTCCATTAGGCCTTCAGGACGTGGGAAGGGACTGTTTTCCTGTGCCTGGGTCCCATAAATCTGGGTGGGGCCCTGGGTAGTGACGCAGCTCTTGGAATTCACCCTGGGTGCTGCAAATGCTATTACTGCTCAGAGCAGCCTGCTTGCCCCGGGAAGCAGCAGGCTGCTGGGTGGATCACCGGCCAGGCCCTCTGAAAGGCCCATTGCCTAAGCCCCGACACTGGGCTGGGCCCAAGCTTTCTACCTGCCTGGGCCAGGCTGGCCCAAGCCCCCAGCTCCACTATGTTGCTGAATGGCATTCCTGGACCCCTTGGGGTCGTGGTGAAGAAGCTGCAGAGGTGGGCTGGGCTGCCCAGCCTGCAGGCTCTGTGTTGCAGGGTGCTGGAGAGGGCCCCTGCCCTGCGGCCAAAGCAGAAGTGTGGGTGTGGCCCAGAATGTTCCCGCCTGCTCTCCGACCTCTAGAAAAGGGCCGGGATCCTAGGACCAGGGTAGACGTCACTCACAGGCCTTGTGGCCTATAAGGTTCCCCCTTGTAGGGGCGTGGGAGCATCCCACGCTGTGTGGTCTACATGCCTGGGACCCCATGGAACAAGCAGCGGCCAGCCCTCTCTATCTTCGTTGTTAACTGAGAAACCACGAACGTGAAGGGCTCCAAGACCCAAGCACACGCCTCAGTTCAAAGTCTGAACGGCAGCCACCCTGTTTGTGACAGAAGCAGGTGGAAACCCGTTCCCTTTGGGGATCATACTTTCT